CAGCGTCTGTTTTAACTGCATCAGCCCGGGTGATGTTTTGCATTAAGACAGACCCTGCTAAAGAGAAAAAGTAAACTATCCCAGAAACACATATTGGAACTGGCCTTTCTGGGGTTCAGTGACTGCTCCAAGCTCAAGATGCGTTGTTTGTGGTCTTCCACCGCTTCCCGCACAGCTGGAAATTTGGTCTCATACTTCTTGTAGGTGTCTCTTATTTCTGCCAAAGGTTCAGCTTTGTGCTCTGCTAGCTTCTCGGTTAGCGGAGCTGTGATTGTGCTAGCAAGGCTCGCCGACTCATCACGTTCTTGTTCCTCTTTCTTCCTATTTTTCGACATTTTCCAAAATAGTAGGTGCAAATGGTCCTTAGCAAACAGTTCTGAGCACAAAAAAAGTAAAGTAGGTAAATGATTAAGTAGAAGTTATAAAAGTTCGGGAGCACTAACAAATACAAGAGAGAGATAAACCCACAGATAGCTCACAATAATGCTGCTCTGGCCTCTGTGCAGGTTGTTGAACAGTCCGAGCTCAAGGTTCCACAGGAAACACAGCCTGATGAAGCGATGAAGACCCTCATTGAAAGGATCAAGTCCATCAAGCAAGAAAAGTGAGCTAGTAATGTTTACTTGTAGTTGCACTCCTTTTATTCCTCTTATTTCTGTCATTTGAATGTTAATATCTTTTTTTGTTTACAGGTTGGACTTGGTCTCCAGGTTGCCTGAGCTGGATCAGGAAGAATCTGACATTGAAAACTTAGATTCCTCATCATGGTTGAGCACCGACAGCCTGGACCTACTAGGGACACTGGACTTGGAAGGTCAGTAAAGAGGTATGGTACTTTGGCCTTCCTCTGGGTGTAACAATGAGAGTTTGTCACTTGGTTAAACATTGTAAAGTTGTTTTTCACAAACCACCATTCACTTAAGCTGTGTTCTGTGTTTTTTGATGTCACTGAGCTGGTCCGGGGTCTATTTTGGCCACTTTAAAGTTTTTGCTCTCTCTCTCCCTCCCTCACTCTGAGAGTGTGTTTATTTTTGTTTTTGGGGGAGGGGTGAGGGGTTGTTGTTTTTTTTGTTTGTTTGTTTTGATATGATAGTCTCTTTCACTTGCACTGATTTCTTTTTGGGCCTCATATTTAAAATTACAGTGCAAAGCTTTAAAGTACATATTCAACACTTTGAACCAACTTCAGGTGTTATATCTGCCGCATCTCTAATGAAATTACAAAAGAACAGGCCTCGCCTGGCCATGAAACACATGTAAATGAGGAATTATGTATAAATCGCAGTAATTCCCTAACAATTAATCCAAATTATGACCTAAACTGGAGCTTCTCTTGTGTACTACATCTGCCATACCAAGTGTGTTTAGTAATGTTTGTTTTCTCAGGAAAATCAATCACACATGTGAAAACCCAGGAACCTGACCTCCCTCCCAAACCTGCTGACCTGACACAGAGAAAAGGACATCTAATGGTTCAACGCAATCCTGAACAGAAAGAGTTCACATCTGGAGAAAAAGCAGATGTTATCCAGCCTCGAAAAGACACTCCCTCCCCAGCCAGCATGCCCCAGATAGCCAGTAAGAAGTTTAACAGGAGCTCTGACGACCTGGACATCCCTTACATTGACGAGGATGAAGATTTAAACGGAGAATAACACCATAAATTTTTATAATTTGAAAAATTCCCAAATGTGTATTAATGGAAACAAAAAAATGTGCACTTTGTTTTGTAGACATTTCGATTTGTTCATGCTGGTATGGAAATTAACTGCTTTATATATATATAACTGTTTATGTATTTAATGGGAGATGATGCTGACTGTTCTTTCGGGGAGGTTTTATTATTATTATTATGGCAGATCTGGATTAGTACTTCTCTTTGTATCAGTATACTGCGTGTAATTTTTTTTTAACCTATTTCAGAATTGTACAGCTCTGATTTTAATAAAAGGCAGATATTTTTGACGTGTTCTTTGTGACGAGCTCTGTCGAGAAATATAGAACGTGATAAAGATCACTCAAGTACACAAGAGTGTCTTTTACTAATTAACTCTGAGCTCAATCACTGTGTTACTAATGAATGCCTTGTGTGTTATTGGGGAATAAATAGCTTGTGCTTGTACCAGAAAACTTCTGACCTTGTACATAAAGTGATTCTGTCTCCTAAAGACTTCAGCGCTGCATTTTGTGTTCTCATCCTGCTCACAAAGACATTCCTTTAGTTGTATTTCTAGTTATATATTGATTTAATTCTACACTACTGTGACTGATTAAGTTTACCTGACTGACTTTATTTGCTATTGCAAAGCTGTGCAACTTCACCAAGTCAGCATCTGTTTATAATTTCGTTTTCTTTTTTATTTTAGGACATCATCCAAGTTTTGCCAATATCACCGACTGAAATAAACCAAATAACTGTTATCAAGGCTCAGTATGCTGCAACATCCTCTAGTCACTAATGTACTTATTTTCTGTCATGTGTTAAACAAAGGTTAATAGGAAACAATTATTTTGATTATTTTATTAGTCAAGTCAAGAATAAAAAAAAATGAAGCTGGAAATCGGGTCAAATCATAAGTTGAATTTAAATGTAATGCTGTTGACATTCAAACTCATATTTGCGGAAAATTTAATAAGTGAGTATTTAATTGGAATAAGTGTTAGAGTATTTTTTTATTTATTCCAATAGCTGGGAAATTACAGTGTTACAGCAGTCAACAGTGAAACACAACTCGGTAAAACAAACACAACATCGGAGAATGAAGTAAAGGTATGAAATGACACTAGAATAGAAAGAAGTGAAGCGCTGACCACATCAAAATCTAAATGTCAGACAATTGGAGCTTAAATCTAAAATGTATGCAGATATTGTCATATGAGGTGGTTTTGAAAAACTGTTTGTGACACTGGAAAAAAAATCACATCATATGTGAAAATATCAAGTTATCTCAAAATCTTTACTTAAAAACTTTAAATTTCTAGTTATTTACTGGGAGATTTGAGTTGGTAAGTTGAAATTGTGAGATTCTTATGTTATGCCCGTTGGAGAGATACAGTTCTAAATTTCAATGTTCTTGTATAACAGCCATAAAGTTTTTACTCCGTTTAATTCTAAATGAGATTTCAGTCACAAAAATGTGAGTTCAAAAATGATATTAATTGAATTTCGTCTTAATTGATTCCGCTCTACAGAGAGCGGAATCAATTAAGACGAGAGCTTGGAGGTACATGTTTTGTTTTGTTTTATTTGTGGCTCGCTGTGAATGTTACATCTGCACACATCCTGTGGTGGTTTTGCATTTCCATTACCCAGAAGTCTACAACTTTCATTTGTTTTAATTTCTTTTTTCTTTTTCTACTACATAAGCAAAAAGAGGCACCAGTCCCTATTTGCTTTACATAGTAAATTTTATGTTTATATATAACTAGACCGTTTTTGGTGATATTTTAAATCATAATTTTCGTATAACTTTTTCACATCTCTTATTTGTTTTTATCAATTGGTGTTTACATATTTTCTCTCCCACTGTATTGACTTTTTTAATGTCATGCAAACTTTTATTTTAAGGCTACATATGCACTTATGGATTCTCTTACACACAGGCACAATCGCTAACTTAGTATGCATACTACACAATCTTAATCCTAGGTTTAATAAAATAGCCATCTTTAGACTATGATGTTGAGCTTGAATACGTATTTCCTCCAAAGGAATTTTCTTCACTGGGTTCGAAGAAGTAGTCAGACGCGGTTTACGTTTCTTCGTAAACACAGTCACTCTCCAAATAAAGCATTTCCTCTTTGTTACCCGCGATGTGATGCTCACAAATCACCGTGTGAGGATCGATAGCGTTGACATCATCTGAGCCAATCCAACGCCCTGTTCTGCTTCGCCCTTGTATTAGACAGCCAATCGCTGGACGTCACTGTGCCAGAAGGGGTGGGTTGACGTCTAGTACAGGAAGCCAGGCTGAGGTGAGGTGGGGAGGAGAGATCACAAAATAGTTAGCTCGCTGCTAGCTGCCTCCTGGAGCCGATTTGCCCGAAGTGCGATGAGCCCAGGAGGCGAAATTAGTGGGTTTTTTTGGTTTTGATTGTCGCAACGATGACCCTCTGACCCCAAGAATGGACATAAGTTAATGATGACGGGGGAGAAGAAGAAGAAGAAGCGGCTGAACCGCAGCATTCTTCTTGCAAAGAAAATTATAATAAAAGATGGAGGAAGTGTGAGTTAAATATTTATTTATCTCCCGTAAGTTAGCCTGCCATTGAGTTAAACGGGCTCTCGGCCGACTGTGCTGGTGTGTTTATTTCGTGAAAATACGCGAGGTAATGCAGCTTTTGTTGCGGCTGTCGGTGGTAGCGGGCAACGTTGACCGTTAACGGAGGCTGGGTGTTGGGAGGGCTAACACTGCTAGCTGTGGGCTAGCATTTCCAGTATTAGCGGCCTGCGTTAGCTGCTTGTTAACACGTCAGCTCAGGTAACGGTAGGTCGTTGATACCGTTGTTAGCTCTGTTTCTTTTATTGATACCGCAGACATTCAGTTACCTTTACTTTTAGCTTTTTCACTCTACGTTAATGCTAATAGGAACTCACGTTTCTTTAAATTATGTGGCACTAAAAGCACCAGCTGGGACTAGCTCAACGTTAGCTTACAAGCATATGTGTTTAATTGGGCTTATTTTTTATTTGCCCTTACTAGCTGAATAGTTACATCTGGGTAGTTTTAAGGTGCTGTATGCGGTACAAAGCTAATGTGCAGTTACTTGGTTAATCTTATAAGTAGGTGAGGGCAGTATATTTAAACATGGGGTTTGTCATGTTGGTTAAAAACAAGCAGAACACAACATCGAACAACTAAAAACATTGGTATTAGCTTCCGGATTTAGAGCCAATCCCGATCTGATGTAAGGTAGGATAAGTGTACGTTAGATGTCCAGAGTTTGGTGAGTCAGGCCCTATTGCCATATTTTTTCTCCCGTCTCTGGTTTATTGACACCTGTAAAGCTGTAATGTTGTGACATTTTTTTATTTTGGATATTTGTATATAGTTTCCTTGACTAAAGGGCAACTCCCATACAAGAGATTATATAGGGGATTCATTTAAATTTGTTTTGACTGTTGACTGTAGATGGTGGTGATTCTCCTAAATTAGGCTGCTGGGAGTGTAAGTATGGTGGAGCTGTTATAAACTCAGTGAGGCATTTGTACCGGTTACGTAATCAGTGGGACAGTAATGCCAAACATACTGAAAATCCATATGAAGACTAACAATTGTGATCATAATGAGGAGAACCACTTCAGATGATCACCTTACTTCATGGGGCACTTTTCCACTCAGGCTCCATGTTTGTAATCAGTCTTTACTGTGGCTGTGACTGGTTCTGACCACTCAGCTATTAAGATTTCATTTATGAACATTGAGCAGGAGTGAATGATAGCATTAGACTCCCTAGTCAATGGTAGTGCATTAAGCTCTGCATGCGAGGCAGGGTGTCATTTAAATGGAGAAGTTGCTGCATCCATTCAGTGACACAGTTAGATGTTGTTCTTCATTTTCTCAGAGAAGCAGGCATCCCAGGGATACAGTTGTGATGGAGCAAAAAGGGTGGGAGCTTATTTGATTTACGCCCCTGTCAGGCCTGCAGGCTAGTGTGGTGTGCTGGGAAATTACAAACCGCACAAGAGTCTTTCGGTTTAGGCTGGCGTATTTTATAGTTTCTACAATTATCACACAAAGTTGTTTCCTGCCATAGTTTGTTCTCAGTGTCCACGTACACGGCATCATGCAACATCTTCACCTTTGCAAAGATTAAATTGAGCTGGAATATAGTGACTTCCTCCCCACGGTGTGGTTTTTATAAAAGGCAAAGGGGATTTCTATTTGCGTGTTACTCATTACAGATCTAGGCCTTTATTTTAAGAGTGACCCAGTAAGCTAAAATACTAACTGTTGTACTATGTCATCTGTTAAATCAAACTGTATAATTTAAATTTTTATGAATTTAGTAAATTATGATTGAGTAAACTTGGGTTTTCCCCTGGTTTACAATGGAATTTTGGGTGGTTAACATGATTGGTTTGAATATTACTAAGAGTTGCCTTAATTGTTCATTTCTTGTTATTTTTGTCTGTTTGATAATGAAAAATCAATTTTAAGCTTCAGGAAATGAAACTCCACTTCAACGAAAACGATTCTGGAGATTTTTACTTTGCGAGAATGTCATAACCTATTTACTAGGCTCCAGACAAACCTCGCATCTCTTGGTAAAAACGAATCCTCTTGATTTACATTCTGGTCATTGTCTTGGACTTAGTGCAATTCATAATGAGGGCAAAGCAGTATAGATGTGTCTTAATGTTGTAAGTATGTAATGCATTAATGTAACCGCTGAGCTTCTTTTGCTCATGTCAGCTTGTGCAATTTAGATTTGGATGCTGCATCATTTACTGCAACTTCCTGTTGTAAAGTGCGTTTAGAGAAGTGTGTTGGTAACAAAATATTGCTCATAACTTGGCTATTGCTAGTGAAAACAAATGCTAGTTTAAGTAGAAGCAATCTGAGGTTATCTGTAAGGCATTTACTTATCTGCAGGCAAGTGTCCTTCAGTCTATTTTATTTATAGTTTTCACATAATTTATGTGCATGTTAATCTCCTAATCATTGTCTAGTTGAGTAAATGTAGTCGTTTTATGCAGAAAAAGCATATGAAATATGATTATTTAGCAGTGTATCTGTCAAGTCAAAAAGAAAAAATCCCGTAATTTGGACATTTATTCAAATACAGGGTATGGAGTGAATTTCACTCTTGTACCCATGTGTGGGTTGTTCCACAGAATCGGGCGATGTGGAGTCTGTATCATTTAGCAGATTCCAGCTCTAGGTTTGATTTGTTAATGTCTTCCCACAAACAGGCACTTAAATGCATGTTACGGTCTCTGTTGCTTGTCATCTAACTGCCTTTCTACCTGTATGTCTGTGTTTGTCTCTATTCAGCCCCAGGGAATCGGGGAGCCCAGTGTTTACCATGCCGTGGTGGTCATCTTCCTGGAGTTTTTTGCATGGGGTCTACTCACTACCCCGATGCTCACGGTAAGCCTAGAGTGTACACATGCACATACACACTCTGTTATGTATACTGACATAACTGTTTATAGTCTAACACA